CCAACCATCCTGGGACGCTTTTCTCAGACTCAGACATGCCCGCTCTTCCTGGGCTGTGGGTGCCTTTGCTGTCTGAGGTGGACGACCAAGGCACCCTCAGCCACTCCGGCCCGGGCAGAGCAGGACAGGGGAGGTGGGAGCCTGAGCCGAGGCGCCCGTCTGGAAACCAGGCAGGGTGGTGAGGTGAGGGCGGCCACAGTACTCTCCATCCCTGGCTTGTTCAACTTGCCCTCAGGCAGCTCCCAATGCAGCTTCCAGAATATTCCGACACAGGCCGACTGTGTGGGTACAGGAAGTGCCCCCATTCCTTCACGGACAAACCAGCGCCATCAGTCCTGTAGCCACAGCTGCTCCGTACTGAGGTCTGAGCTCCGGCCTCCCGCCATCACTGTGTGTGGCCCTCTGACTCCCGGAGGGCAGGTGCCATCCCCCACTTCTCCAATGGGGAGACACAGGCTCAGAGTGGCCCTGAGCTAGCCTCTCACCGCTGGCCGCTGGCTGAGCTCACGGCGCATCCTGCCTGCACCCCCTCCCTCCCAGCCCCCTGGCCACGTGCCCGCTCCTGGGCAGTCTGCCTCTGCTGTCTGCCACTTCCAAGACCCCCCTGTCCCACGAGGCCCTTGGTTCCCCCAAGTGCTCAGGGTGCAGGGCCATGGAATCTGCATTTTCACAACTCCCGTGAGACTCTAACAAACGTGAACGCGAATCAGAGGAACGCCACCACAGTGCTGGGGTCGTGGGTCCCTCTGGGAGCTGTCATCAGGGCTGTGTGTGTATGCCCCCATACACACCCCAGTTCACAAATGCAAGGAGAGCCCGCACTGCCCCCTCGGCTCCCCTGTGAGCTGGAGCTGGGAGACAGCAGCGCCCATGCCCCCCCCCCCCCCCCAGTCACAGCAGCCAAGACCCGGGACGGGACGGGGGGTTGGCCAAGGGTACCCACCCCAGCTCAGCCCGCGCCTCTTCCACCCTCTCCTCCCACGTGAAGCCCGCTGTGACAGCCTGGCCTCAGCGCCCTGCCACCCCTCCTCTCGAGTTCCCGTGTGTGGCCCATACACCGGGAGCCTGCCAGGAATGCATGTTCCCAGGCCCGCTCCAGTGCTGCTCCGTCAGTCCCCACAACGCACTCACTTCCGAGGAACCCCCCTGGCTGTAACTACGGTGTGCTCGGGGTCCCGGCCCCTCCACATGTGAGCGGGGGCCAGGCCTCAGTGCCCTGGGGAGCAAGGAGGAAGGTGAGCTCCCGTCAGGGCCATCAGAGTGTGCCATGCAACAGGACCCCACTGCGGTGGGAGAGGAACGAGCCCCCACCCCACTCAGTCCCGTGGACGCGGCCCCCACGTGCCCTCGCCAGGAGAGGTTCCTGCCTTCCACCCTCTGAATCCACGCCCCTGGCCTCACTCTTGCCTCTGGAGCCACACCAGGAACCTCCCTGGTACAGACCAGGAAGCCACAGACAGGCCCCATGTGCTGGCCTCCTGGGGGCTCCGTCTGTACCACGGGTGCCCCGAGTGACCCTGGCTGATGGCCATCCAGCACACGACGGACTCGGCATCGGTGCCCTGGGAAAACGGAGCTGAGAGAGATGAGGACGCCCTGACGGGGCTGACAGGGAGAGCGAGCTCGGGCGGAGATGTTCAGGAGAAACCTGGACAGAGCAGCGGCCCAGTTCATGGGCAAAGGGGTCAGCTATGGGGGTAGGAGGCAGGGGGGAGGGGACTGGGGATGAAGAAGACTGTGAAGAAACCACCAGGGACCAGAGATGGCACCCGGCAGGGAGAGAAGCAGTGGGACAGGGTAGCCCCTGGGTACAGCCGGCCTCTGTCCATCAGGTGACTCGGGTGCCCGGCTAGGGCAGGGTGGGGTCAGGAGCTGGGCACAGGGACATCTGGAACCCACCTGCCCAGTTCTCCTCATCCCTGAGCCCCCAGTGGACGCTCTCTCTCTCCCCTCCTCACTGGGTGGAGCCGGCAGAGGCCACGCCTTCCCCGGGCAGCTCCAGAATGCCACCCAAACGCCTCACTGTGGCATTCAAGGCCTTTCAGCACTGAGCCCCGCCCGTGCCCAACCTCTGCCGACTCCACACGCCACCCAGGTGCAGCGGCCATTCACGGGCTGAAGGCACTGGGCAGAGAGGTGAGGGCCCAGGCCCCGCCCTCAGCTCCCATCCCAGCAGACACAGGACAAGCCTGATGATCAGAGCAGCTCCATGGGTGCAGCCGGCACCATCAGGGCGACGTGCTGGTGTGGCGGCTCTAGGGCGTTTCACAACAGAGACCCCAGGGACAAGAGTCCAGCCCTGGGACGACCCACAGAGGGGCCAGCGAGCACCCAGGCCCTGGGGCTGGAACAAGCTGGGCCACGGAGGCTGCAGGGAGCGAGCGGGAGCAGGGTGGGGCTGGGCACCCCGGCACGGTCTTGGCATTTTTCCAGGAGGGAGAGGAAGTCACTGAAGGTTTGATTTGGGAGGAATCCTCACTCCACGCGATCTGACTGACATTCGTAAAAGACAACCCTGACCGCTTCCATCTGGAGAACAGGCTGGGGCGGGGAAGCAGGCAGGAGGGGCGCAATGGTGAGGCTGGAAGAGGGGGCACGTGTCTTCCCAGGAGCAGTGTCTTTCACACCCCAGGCCTCTGTGGGTGCCGACCACTGACCCTCCAAACAGCCCACAGGGGGCTCGCCTGGGTGCCTTGGCGTCGCCCCCCTGCCCCCAGCCCAACCACAACCCTTTGCCGCCCCTTCCTCTGGCCTCCTGCGGAGCGGGCTCCTCCCTCTGCCTTGGTCCACATCTCTTTACCGCTGCAGTAAGTCAAGACCCCTGGCCCCTGGAGCCAAGCAGAGCAGGGCCCCGAGAAGGGGGCTGAAGCTTCCCAAACCTCGGCTGCCTCACCAGGGAGATGGGAACACAGGGACCCTCAACCAAGTGTGCCTATGTGGGAGGTTTAGGACAGACTCCCGGCATGGGTTGGGGGGAGACCACCAGGGTGGAGAAAGCCGTACCAGCAGAGGAAGCAAGCGAGGAGGGTGACCACAGGCAGAGCCCTCCCAGGCCCGCTGCCGCCAGGGGCACGTGGCAGCTCAGAAGGGCACAGCCCAGGGACGTGCACCCGCCAGGCACGGCCGCAGGGACCCCATTGGAGGGGAGGTCACCTCCCAGGCGTTCTCGGCTCTCTGCAGGTGCTGGCCAGGTGGCCGTAGGAGCCTGCAGGGAGTAGCATCAGGGCTCAACGCGGGGGCGGGGGGTGAAAGCACAGCACAGCTAGGGGGAAGGGGTGGCCCCCTAAATCGTGCACCTTCCTCGCACAGGGCTGCTCTGGGAAGAGGGGGTGGGAAAACCAAGCGTCTCCTCTGGTCCCGCCTCTGTGGGGGCGTGTGCTCCCTGCGCACAGGAGGGACCGGCTGGCGGAAGGAACACCCACGACACTTTCCAACAGGCCACGGCTGGGCAAGGTGGCAAATGTATCCCCTAGAGGGTAAAAAGAACCATCACCCCCTTTCACAGATGAGGAGCCAGGGCAGGGCCATGGGGGTTTCGATCCACAGCTGCGCGGCCCTGCACTGACACCTTGCGTCCTGCTGTGCCGGGTGCCTGCCCTCTCTGGGGTACAAACTTGGCTCAGGCTCCTTGGAAGCCCCCAGCCCCGCCCTGCGGTGGTCGCCCCCAACAGCCAGCGGTGGCGTCTGCAGCCCCCAACACCCCACATGGCGTCCCCCAGGCTCCGGGCGGGGCGGCGACTTACCCACAAGGCCAGTGCTCCCTCCTGCAGCCCTGGGTGCCTGTGGGGCCCCGTGGTCATGGGACTCTGCTTCCTGGCTCTGCACCTCCCGCCCACGGGGACTTAGGGCCTAATCCTATTCACCAAGTGCGCCTCGAGCTTGGGCCGTCACTGGTTTGTGCTCAGAGGGAAGCGAGATGACAAGATCTCGGGGAGCACAAGAGCACCGGTAGAGGCCTCGGCCCCCGTGCGGGCAGGGGCTGCGCAGAGCTGCCCGCCCCATCCCTGCCTGCACCTCCGCTCCTCCAGCCACTCCCGCCTCGGGAAAAGGCAAGTGCCTGCCCGGTGCCCAGGCCAGGGACCCCAAACTCATCAGCACACCACCCCTCCTCCACTCCATCACCCACATCCGAGCTGCTGCCAAATCCCACCTCTGCTCCTCGCTGCTGTCCCTGCCGCTGCCGCTGCCCCTGCCCCGGCCGAGCCGCTAGCACCTCCTGCCTGGGTGACCACGCTGGCTGTCTTGGCCTTCCCCACGCACCCCAAATCTTACTGTCAGAACTTTCCAGAAGGCAAACTGAATCACTTTTTTTTTTTTTGACAAGCAGAGTTGAGAGAGAGAGAGAGAGAGAGGTCTTCCTTTTTCTGTTGGTTCACCCCCAAATGTCCACTACGGCCAGCGCACTGCTCCAATCCAAAGCCAGGAGCCAGGCGCTTTCTCCTGGTCGCCCATGTGGGTGCAGGGCCCAAGCACTTGGGCCATCCTCCACTGCCCTCCTGGGCCACAGCAGAGAGCTGGCCTGGAAGAGGGGCAACCGGGACAGAATCCAGCGCCCTGACAGGGACTAGAACCCGGTGTGCCGGCGCCGCAGGCGGAGGATTAGCCTAGTGAGCCACGGCGCCGGCCTAAACTGAATCACCTTCAACACTGCCCTCCGGCTCCCCGGCCCCTGCCTCACTCACGGGGTTCTGGCCAGACCTTTGGCGTAAGCTGAGCCCCGTCGGCAACCCCCCCCCCCCCCCCCCCCGCCCCGAGCTCACTCACTCTTCCTCACCCTCCGGGCCTCCTCTCCCTTTCTAAGCCGGAAGGGATGGGGCACAGCCCCTCGTGGCCATCCAGCCACTCTCCTGGGAGCCTCTTCCCCGCCCCAGCTGCCTTTCCAGAGGGCCCTGCCCTCTCTCCCGCACCTCCTCGCAGGAGCTCCGTGCCCCGTTACCTGGGCTCGCCTCCCTTCTACCTTTTGCTTGTGTCACAGTCACCTGGGCCAGCTCTGGGCAGAGCAGAGCAGGCCCAGGTGCCGTATTCCCAGGCAGTGCCTTGAGATCCTGGCCTGGCTCTGAGCACAAGCCCGAGTCCTGGAGGTGCACCTGCACTTCCCAGCCCTGCCAGGGGCACAAGTCTGCCACCCCCGCTGCCCTGTGGCTACGCCCCGGGACGCCCAGCACGTCCTTGCTGGATTCTCCCCGCAGGCTGGGAGAGGCCGACTCATGGGTGAGCAGACTTGGGAGCCAAATTAGCCCAACAGCAGCAAGCCCGGGATGAGCCAGAGAGAAAATGAGATTCAAGAGTGGATCAAAGTCATGGGGGCTGGGGACATGAAGTACAGATCCGTGGGGGCCTGCCGGCTGCGGTTTACCCAAGAAAGCTCTGTGGAGGGTTAGTCGGAGTCGGCAGCGAGACACAGCTGCTTTGATCAGTTGAAGGAACCCAAATGGAAATGAGGCTGCCTTAGAAGCCGCGGACTACCCAGCCGAGCGCCCCTCTTGGCTGCAGTGTGATATTTGACCCCCTCCTTTCCGAGCGACACTGACAGGCAGCTGTCACTCGCAGGGAACGACAGACGGCAGTTTGAGGGTGGCAGGTGTTGCGGGGGGTGGGGGTGTTGGGCCGTGGGAGGTCAGTGTCGACGTTAGCTCTGAGATCACGCGAGGACTCCTGCGTGGAGAAGGCCTGGACTCTGCAGGCTGCTCCACAGGGCTCAGCTCCCATCACTGGGCAGCAGCTGCAGCCAGAAAGAATGGACACGGTGCCACACGAGACGGGGGCTTCCCCATCACCGCGGGCGCCCGAGCAGCACCGGCTGCCCCAAGGTAGGGAAAGAGTGCATCCGATGTGTGCAAGGCTCCAAGGTGGGGCCTTCTCAGAGCCTGCGTTTCTGAAGCCGCCACACACGGATCCCTTGGGCTCAGCGGGCCTGCTCCCGACCACAGCTTCAGCCTGAAATCCCAGCTCCCAGGATGGCCTTCTGTGCGGGGCAGCCAGGTCTGGCGGTCAGCTACGGGGGCCCCGAGATTCTGCTTTTACAGGAAGTCCCCACGTGGTGCTGACGCAGCCGCCCAGGGCCTCCGGCCTCCGCACTGGGGATGCGGCTGTCTGAGGTGGCTTCTTGTTTGCACGGCCTGGGATTCTGGGACCCCTGCTTCCCTCCCCCGGAGGGGCAGGGCTGGGGGCGGGGGAGGATGCCTGAGGAGTTCCAAGCCTCCCTTCTTCACACCCGGAAGCTGCTGGTGGAGCAGGGGGTTGAAGTTAGCAAAGACAGCCCCAAAGGCCCGGCGGGCCTCAGGGGAGCCCCCTCCCCTGCAGGAAAGCCTACCTCCCTAAAGGTGCCAGGATGCACGTTTTCATGAATTCCCATGGGGAAAACCAACCTGTATCTTGTGCGGTAGGCCCAGGGTAAGATTTATGCAGATGCCCACGTGTGCAGGCCAGAACGCCTCACAGCAAACCACTCTGATCACGCGAGGCAGCCAAGCACCGCTCCCGCAAGGTGCTGGGGGCCGGCAGCCTTCCTGGGGGTGCCTGCCGGTCACGCACCTTCCCCAGTGAGAGCCACGCAGCTGGGCTCTGCCAACAGAGCACCGTGAACACATACACCACGCCAAACACAGCTCAGTCCCCGCGCTCCCCTGCCTGGCGGGCACCCCAGCCTGCGACCCTGGAAGCAAGGTGCACACAAAACCACGGGGCTGGGAGAGGCTCCTGCGCTGGGTCTAGCACGACAGCTGAAGAAAGGAACAAGGAAGGCCGGGCAGGTGCAGCGGGGTCTGGCTGAGGGCGGCTGGAGCGGGCTCCGGGAAGCCCAGGTGTCTTCCATCTCCTGCGCCTTCTGGGATCGGCAGCCCAGCGGCCGTGTCCACAGCTCGGCTTCCCCCGCGGCCCAGGCCATGTGGCTTCATTGCCCCTCGTGCCGTCCTCAGTCCCCGAGAGTGGCCGCCTGGCGCGGGCCCAGGGCGCAGTCACTGTGTGTCAGAGCTCTGCGGACTGCTGGCCGCTGGGCAGTGACCTGCCCGGCGCTGCGGAACGAGATTTTTGGGGTCATAAGTTTTTATTAAAGGTCACTAACAGATTTACGGACAGTGCTGTAAAACGACACTTGTTTTTTATTCGCACAAATCCGACTGCTTGATAGAAAGTTCTTGGGCTGGAGCAAAGCCCAGGGGCCTCCTCTGACTACAGAGCCGCCTTTGATTCGAGTTCCCACAACCCACAGGGGATCAGCGCTGCAATGCCCAGGGCTCCGGCGGCCGGGGGGAGGAGGAGGGCGTCCCCTGATTATCCGGAGCCCCTGGCTGGGACCTGCAGGGACACCGCGGGGCCCGGCGTGGCTCCTGCCTCGTGCCTGTGCTGGCTGGACGACCTGGGCTGGTCGTTTCTCCACCCAGAGCCTCAGTTTCCACCTCTGGAAAATGGGGGTAGTTGTAAAGGTTAAGACATGGTCGCTGGGGGCAGGCGTCGTGGCACTGAGGGTTAAGCTGCCGCTTGGGACCCCTGTGTCCTGCATCAGAGTGCCAGTCGCTCTGCTTCTGATCCAGCTCTCTGCCGATACACCTGGGAAGGCGGCGGAAGGTGGCCCGAGTGCCTGGGCCCCTGGCACCCGCATGGGAGATTCAGATGGAGTTCTGGGTTCCTGGTTTGGCCTGGCCCAGCCGTGGCTGCTGTGGGCACTTGGGGAGTGAAGCAGCGGGTGGAAGATGTCTCTGTCTCTCCCCCCCACCCCCCGCTGTGTTCCCTTGGAAGCCTCAGACGGGAGTCCCTTGCAGTCCTGAGAAGCTGCCCACCGTCCACGCAGAATCTCACCTAACCCACCTGTACCCGGGCGACTCGGTGGCTTAAGGATGCTGGCCCAGCCGGGGGCCTGTGCCGTGTGCAGTGGTCAGGGCTCTTTGGCAGCCACTCACTTACACTCTGGCTTGCACTGGGTGTACGGGGCTCCATCTGCTTTCCCGCCATTCGGTTCCTGATGAGGGTTTCAGGCAGGAAGACCACACGGGCGCTGGGGGATGGGATCTGTCACGGTGCACGCTGCGTGGGCATGGCAAGCACACACGGAGCATACGTGAGCGTCTGGCCTCCAGGTCTGAGCACCTGGCGCCCTCTGTGCCCCTGCTGGCTCCTCCCACCCCCTCTGGAGGGGCCTGACCCTTCCAGCACGTTCCACTCACTGCAGTGTCCTCGGAACCCAGCCGTGCCGCGCCAGGGGCCTGGGTCACACGTGTCTCCCGTCATGGCCACGGCACGTCCACGGGCGAGTGCATCAGGGCACAGACGTTCTCAGCCCTAACAAATGTGACGCTCTGGTGCCCACCCGACAGGCAGAGCAGCACACAGCCAGGGCGCCTCCCGTCCGCCCCGGCCTGCCCTCTCTCACACCAACTCTCCCCAGTCCACATCTCGGCCTCCACCCCAGATGGGGTGCTCAGCGGCCTCTGAGTTTGCTGTGCAGCACAGCAAGGCCTGGGGACCTGCATGCCCCTCCCCACTCCCAGCTCCTTCCGTGGCGCACTCTGGCCACGCAGGCCTCCCTTCCGCTGTGCCCCAGGGCCTTTGCACATGCTGCGCTGTCAGCCTGCAATGCCTTCCCCCACTCCTTTTCTTGTGGCCACAATGTGGCTTTCCAGGGCTTGGCCTGTGTGTGGGGCAGCGTGGCAGAGGCGGGTCCCCCTTTGCCCTCGGAGCAGCACCAGCGATCCCCCCATGGGCTGATCACGTTGGCGCCGCTGCATGTGCAATGTGTGCATTGACCGCCTGTCTCCCACACGGGTTCCACGAGGCCAGGGGTGGAAGTGTTGCGTTTCGTGGTGGACTGAACCCTTGGCACGGAGCCTGCACTTTCTCAGCTCAAGGAAGGAAGGAGATAGGTAGAGGAGGAGGGAAGAGAGGAGGAGGGGGAGTGGAGGACCCTCCCCAGTTCCCCTTTTTAGCCCCCAGCCCCCTGTAACACCAGGGAAGGGGTGCTACACAGCCCCGAGGAGCCCTGTGGCCAGCCCTGGTGGTCTAGCCTCTGACCCTTAGTGCGAGGAGTCTCCCCTCCCACCTCCCCAGCCACACATTAGGCAGTCAGGTTGCATCGCCGGTCCCCTGAGGGGTGGGGCCGAGGGGAGGGGCGGGGCCACACCCCCAGGGTGAGGACGGAGCTGGTGGCAGCCGCCTATGGGGGGACAAGCTGACTCCCGACGCCGGGCACCCAGTGGTAACGCCACAGAGATTTCTACAATGAACCGAACGCCCTCGGCCCCTGGAGCCCGACCCTAAAAGTGAGCACTACGGGTGTGCAGAGACCTGACCGTGAAGCAGTTCCCCGAGACGCTTTCCATAATAAAGCAACAAGCTATCCCTGGATCCAAATGAAGGACAGACTGGGCCTCCAGACGCCGCGGCACACGCCTAGGAGCGCGGCAAGGACCCAGACCGCGCGCTGCCCGACGCCCCCGCTGCACGGCTGGGCAGCTGCTGGGCACACGGCGCCCCCTGGCGGCGCGACCGGCGGTGCGCTCCGAGACCAGCGGCAGAGCAGCGGACCCTGGCGGCCGGGGACACCCGCACCGGGCGTCCAGGGCGGCGCGCTCGGACCTGCAGCCTTGGAAGCAGCCGCGCCGGTCCTCAGCGGCGAGCGGTGGACGCGGGGTCCCTCCAGACACCGAAGCGGAAAGGCGGCAGCGGCCGCGAGAGCGCGGGGAGCCGGAGGGCTGAGCCGGGCAGCGCACGGACGCCACCAAGTATCCGTCCACACCCGCAGGGCGCACGAGGCCTCGATGGGCCCCCGCAGACCAAGGTGGGCGTTGGGGGAGGGGCCTACAGGGACCCTCCGCGCCCACCTCTGGAGCTCGAAAAAGCCAGGTTCCAAAGAAAGGACGTCACAGCTAGGAATTTTGGAGGGAGAAACATGTGACGTCAGAACTCAGAATGACGTCAGAGGCGGCTGTTTTATCAGGCCCCGTACTCAGCACTTTCCAATCAGTCTCCAAGCAGGGATCTGAGCGGCCTCGGGTTTGGTATCTGCGGGGGTCCCGAGCCAGCGATGGCCCTGCCCTTCCTCTGGGCACTGCTACTCAAACGCGTAGCTGCCGCTCTCAGTCAGAGCGGAAACTGCGCAGGGCTTCGCGCGGCCAGAGCGCAGTCCCTGGACCCGCAGGCGCCCGCCATGGAACGCGCAGGCCCACACCCAGCGTGGCCCCGGCTCTCACCTGGGAACCAGAGCTGCCGCTGCGGTCCCCGAATGCAGGGGAGGCGAGGAGAGAGAAAGGGGTGGCTGCGCGGGCGGCTCAGGTGCAGGTCTCGCTCCCCAGCCGGGTCCGGAGCCGAACGGGAGTGGACGATGGAGGTGGCAGAGAGCACGCACGCGCGAGCCTCCTCCCCCCCTCAGGTGTGTGCTGAGAGCTCCTGGGGGCGGGGACCGAACCTGTGCTCCCAGGGGCAGGTGCACCTGGATCCCCGCTGCCCCTACCTGCTCCGGTGTGATCCAGTTAGCTGGGCTGAGGCCCTGCGAGGAGGGAACAGCTCCAGCTTGCGCTCCGTCGAATCCTCAAAGCGCCCCTCGCTAGGTTCCCAGCCCAGGATGACGGAGACGCCTGAACCATCTTCCCGCCGGCGAGGCCAGGGCACAGGCTGCGGCCCCCGCGGCCACACAGCGCGTGTGAAGGCAGTCGGCTGCTGCCCGTCAGGTGCCTCATCCGCGGCTTTCGATTTAGCCGGATGCCGAACGTCCTGGTGGGCCTGCAGCTTCGGGGGCCTTTCGCACCGGCCACATTCTGCTGCCGACCCCTGGAGCCCGGTGCAGCCCCTGGACCCTGGATCGCCGAGGGCCGGCTAGGCCCCGCCTGGGCTGGGACGTGCGGGAACCGTGAGCTAATACGCGTCTGCTGGTTTCCATCATCTGCGGCCATGGACAGCCCACGCGCCACCCTGGACGCAAGTCCGCGTGGGGCAGCAGCCAAGTGCCTCCAGCAGAAGGGGCGAGCGCAGGTCGCAGCCTCACACACGGGCACCGCGAGGTCCGGGCAAACGCGCGCGCACACGGCAGTGAGGGGTGGAAGACCCAAGCGGGGGTTGGGAAAATTCACATCTCGCGCTTCGGGCTCCTGAGGACACGCTTCAGGTGCCTCCAAGAAGCCAATCCCGAGTTGCTGGCCGGCCGGCCGGCCTGTGGGAGGGCAGCACGAGCTGTGGTCACGAAGCCGAGGACTCGGGGACTCTGGTGCTGTCTCATTTCCTCGGGTCGTGGTCAGCGCGTGGTGCGGGGATATGAACAGCGCCGGCTCCACATCGCGCGTTGCTGTTTGTTCCCGCATCTGCGACTGCGTCTTGCCCTTAGCAGGTGCACAGGAAACACAGCAGACGCCGTGCCCCGAGGGCACCTGTCGCACCCTGACCCGCATCTTGCGGACACTCAGATCCCCCAGACTGCCGCTGCTCAGCCACCGACGTGCTCTGTGGCCCCGTCCTGGCTCGGCTCTGCCGGATATAAAAGGCGCTGACAGCATTAGAAAACAGGACAGAAACCGTCCTGTCCCTTTAAGTCTCTGGTTGCTGACCCCTGCTCTATCGGAACTGTCCCGCCTCCATCCAGCAACCTGTCACGTGTCTCCCTGGTGCTCAAGGCCCAGGGGTGGGCACATGACCCGGGCCGGCCAATGGCAGACGCTCAGCCATCTGTCCACAGGTCATGGATTGGTCTCCGGGGAGGGACATGAGCTATGCTGGGCCAATCCCAGGTCTTCCATGAGATCTTGACTGATGCTTGCCTCCATTTACTGGCTCTTGCATCCTGACCCACCCCCGGGCCTTGCTGGGAGTGGCTAGGAAGGCTTCTCTTCGATGGAGGTGGTGCAAAGACCCAGGTCCAGCTCTGAGGTCTGTAACACACGATGACCACGGCCAGACCCCACCAGCGTCACACTGACAACCAAGTCTGATCAGTGCTGTGGGCCCACCATGCTCTGGGTGTCCCCAGGGTCTCCAGTGCTCTGGGGGGTGACCAGGATTAGAGAAGCTAATTAGGATGCAGCCCCCATGACTGAACCACACCATCTTACACAAAGAAGCAGGGAGACAGGAGGACACTCAGACATGCCCACCTGCCACGCACCACCCTTGGCCGCTCTGGGCTCTGCCACAAAAGGCCATCCCCAGGGGCCCAAGCAGAGCCTCCAGAGGCATGGGCCAGCGTGGAGTTGGGTCAGCGGCAGCAGGAAGTGGACCCACGATGGAGTTCGTGGCAACAGGTGCCAACAGTGCTCTCTCTCCACTGGAAGGCTAACTTGGGACAAGGATGGAAGTGACAGGACGGCTTCAAGTCCTGTGGATGGTGGGGCGAAGATGGCCCGTGACTCACACAGGCCCTACTGGGGGCTGCACGGGGTGGGGTGGGGATTGACAAAGCCAGGGACATCAGACCTGAAGGCGCCAGGCTGGGGGCCAGGAGTCAGCGCCAGGTGCACATCTCAATATGCCTTACTGGGCCATCGCCCTTGGCCATCCCGAGCCTCTCCGAGCGGCCTGGCGCTGGGGGCACAGGGCTGCCGGAGCTGGGTCTAAGAGTCGCCTTTGCCACTGTGGGCTCTGTGGAAGCTGCCTCCCTGCACCTCCGTTTTCTCGTCTGTGCAGTGAGAACGTCTGTTTCGTGGAGTTGTTAGTAAAATAACACCTTCCCTCGAAATAAAGTGAGTCAAGGTTTTATAAACGTGGGAATGTCCTGGGCCTGCAAAATTAAAACTAAGCGAAATGGAACATTGCGGTGAGTCAGCGTGGCCCTGCCATGTACTCGAGCAAACACAGCGGAAAGCCACACCGCCCCTGGCGTCAGCGTCCAGGGAGAAAGGCCACGAAACACGACGAGGGAGGGGCTGGCTTTGTAGCGGGCTCTCCCAGCTCTGCCCACCCTCCTCCTCATCTTGCCGTGGGCCAGCACCAGCCTGGGCTTGGTTGCCGGGAGACCACGTGGAGGATGCCCTCGGCATGGGTCCCTCACCTCAGCCGTGCGCTCGGCGGTGGGCTCACGTGGGCAGGACCCAGGGCCTGGCCACAGTGGCCACTCACTGAGTGTGCTGCACGCAGGGGAGAGGAAGGATGCCCTTGGGGGAGCGGAGGCTCCTGCAGAGACCAAACCGAAGGGAGCTGCCAGGCACCTGCGCGTGCACGGCCCAGGGAGAGGCTTCTACCTCCAACCCAGGGCAGGGCAGACCCGAAGGCACTGGGAGCTAAGGAACCACACCAGTGCCATTCGCGTCCAAACGGGACCCTCCTCTGCCAGCGGTAGCGAGTAAAACCCCAGCTGTGCCTCTGCTCACCCTCTGGGACTGACAAAGACAAGGACAGACCCCTCATTCTCTCTGAGGAGGTCTGTGGGGAGCAACTCGGACTAGACTAAGTTACTGGAATTAAGACTTATTCTATGCATCTGCTCTCCCACAATATGGTGCTGGGAGAGGAGAAAACAGCTTCTACGCAGCTGCCTCTTGCCTACTTGAGTGATGACCTCCAGGAGCTGGTCCTGCTCCTGATTGGAGGAGAGCAGCGTACTCGGCGTGTGGGTAGCAGAGTTGGGATTGGTGGAGGAGGACTATAAAGGAGGAGAGAGACGGCATGCACGAGGAACATCTAAGGGGAACATCTAAGAGGAACACCTGTGCAGCCCCCGAGAGAGCCGGCCGGCGGTGTGCCGCTCCCCCGCGGAAGTGGGGAAAGTGGCAGGGGGAACCGCCCTTCCACGGAGGTGGAAGGGATGGTAGCCAACCCGGGAAGAACCAGCAGCAAACCCGGGGAGGGCCGAGCAGACAAAAGAACAGCGCAGGGTCCTGTGTCGTTCCTCCGTGAAGAGGGGGAGCGACAGAGGTCCCTTTGAGATCAGCAAGAGGCACCACACGCGGTCCCCTGGGCCAGCAGCCCTTGTTGCAGAAGGGGGCACTGGCATTGCCTCCAGGGCTGCATTGGCCAAGTGGGGACAGACAGACAGACACCTACGTGACAGATGGACGGGCGCTGCACAGCCAGATAAAGAAACTCAGGCCCACAAAGGGGCTTCCAAAGCTCCTGGCAAAAACGGAACCAAAAGATCCATGTACGTTTCCCACAACACGCACGTCCACGGACTTCCTGAAGGTGCCTGGCTCATCTCCGTCAGGTCTACCGAGAGGCCCTGCCTGCGCCATTTTACAGACAAGGAAGTGGGGGCTTTCAGAGGAGACCACTCGCCAAGCCACGCACGCAAGCCCTGGCGAGATGGCCGGCTTTGCACGACTGTGCTGCGTGGGGCCGAGGCACGCTCCTCCAGGAGCCACCCCAAGCGTGAGAGCAGTGGCTGCAACCGGGGCAGAGTCCTCTGGGGGCAGCAGTGCCGCGGGCAGCAGCAGGCAGGGGCAAGGGGACCACTCCCGGGGCGGGGCGGGGCGGGGCCTCCGTTCACTCTCGCCTGTGGACTGGCTTCCAGCCGCCCAAAACCACTGCAGAGAGGCTTTGGGTCAGTCTTTTTTTTTTTTTTTTTTTTTTTTTTTTGACAGGCAGAGTGGACAGTGAGAGAGAGAGACAGAGAGAAAGGTCTTCCTTTGCCGTTGGTTCACCCTCCAATGGCCGCCGCGGCCGGTGCGCTGCGGCCGGCACACCGCGCTGATCCGATAGCAGGAGCCAGGTACTTCTCCTGGTCTCCCATGGGGTGCAGGGCCCAAGCACTTGGGCCATCCTCCTCTGCACTCCCTGGCCACAGCAGAGAGCTGGCCTGGAAGAGGGGCAACCGGGACAGAATCCGGCACCCTGACCAGGACTAGAACCCGGTGTGCCGGCGCTGCAAGGCGGAGGATTAGCCTAGTGAGCCACGGCACCAGCTGGGTCAGTCTTAAAAACTCATAACCACCTCCTAGGAGGCCCCGTGTCCACTGACAAAGCCCGGATGCCCGGTCCGGTCCTGGCACACAGGAGGCGCGTGCTGGAGCACTGCTGCCAGTCCTGGCTGCTCCACTTCATGCAGCTCCCTTCTAATGCACTGAAGACAGAAGACGGCCCAGGTGCTTGGACCCCTGCGACCCGTGTGGGAGACCTGGAAGAGGCTCCTGGCTCCCAGCTCCAGCCTGGCCCAGCCCTGGCTGTTGTGGGCATTTGCAGGAGTGAACCAGTGGAAGATGGAAGATATCTCGTTCTCTCTCTCTCTCTCTCTCTCTCTCTCTCTCTCTCTTTCCCTCTATCATTCTGCCTTTTAAAGTAAATAAATACTATGCTTTTCCAGGCCGTAGCAGAGAGCTGGATCGGAAGTGGAGCAACTGGGACTTGAACCGGCACCCATATGGGATGCTGGTGCTATCGATAGTGGCTTAACCCCCTACACCACAGCGCTGGCCCAATAATTAAATCTTTAAAAAAAGTCCCCAGGGTTACACAGCGACTGCCACCCGGACTCTGACACCCAGGCTCGGTGGTCTTGCCGGGATCAGGGGCTTCTGTTGCAGAGGG